TATATATATATATATACGGCAGATGACAGCTGAGTAAACGCAACACGGGCCCTAACCAGTGAAGCCAACTAATGTGAATTCAATCGGACAACGATTACTCAACCGACTCGTTATCAAATACGCGACATCTTACCTTAGTTGCTTACACGCTCGCTCCACCCAACCCGCACCAAATTACGTAAACATTGGCAGTGGAAGACGTCTATACGACGAATATCTTCCACGGGCAAACTCAGGGTCTTGCAAAGCAGAACTGAAGGGGAATTTTTGCAGTATACACGACCTAACAGTCTCAACGAAACAATACATTCACAACAAAGGTTTCAGTTATGCGTAAGCTGCTCTGACCTTGACTATGGTACCATCACAAAACTACTTAAGAGAAACATACCAATTTAGCTAAATCTTGACTAACAAGCACCAGCAGCGGGGCATATAATACCCAATCTTGTAGCACTACTTAGCACTTTGAAGGTACAAAGCGCATACCCAGCCAAGTTACAGAACATGAGTATGACTAGCTCGTTAAAAATATCGTCGGAGTTAAACCTCGCTGCCGTTCATCGCAATGGTCAGTAATATAAGCAACAAATACAAGTAACGATAAATTTCTAAACGGATTTAAATTGGTGCCCTATTTCTTGAGGCCACCGCAAAGTTACTATGCACAAAGGCGCGACCGCAAAAGCCATCCCATTGAAAAATCCTGGGTGAGTTCTCGCTACACACTACCAGTACCATAGATTCGTAACCGCCAACAGTCTAAACCTTCCGTTGAGTACATTGGTACGCGTGGGAATACTCCCTGGAGCGCAAGCGGACATGTTCGGATCGCACAAATAGGAACGACCTGATCTGATCTTGTTATAGTGCACCCCAAGACATTCGAAGCAGATCACGGTCTACGTCTCTAATCCGAATATTCACTCAGCAACATATACATGAAACCTACAAGGAAGACATTGCAAAAGGAAAGAAGACTAAAAAGCGCAATAACCAGTTATCATTGAGTCATTTTCCAGGTAGAACCGTGCATACGAATGGACAAAACTTACTATATGCTCGCCACGTAACAGAACCAGCCCCAAAGCTCGTTTTTCTTGTTTCTCTTTATCTTGTTTTGAAGCTTTGCTTTTCACGTGACGAAATTCGTCACAGTCACAGAGAATTATATTCATATGACGGTCGAAGGCCTTGAAAGTACCAACAAGTTGTCTCCCATCTTGCATGGTACATCTGATACGATAATTTACATGCTGACTGATTTTGGCGTTTTTGCTAACCGGCTGAAAACAAATTGCAATATAAACAAAACGAACGTACCATCCTGTCGCGCTCTGATGATTTCGTATCTTCCGCGTCTGTATTGTGACCTACGGTCCAGTCGGGTTTATTAAAACAATTATCGCTAGGTTTGTCTTCACAGGCTCCATCCCGCAACTCCTGCGCTATGCATTCTTTGAAGGAACGTCTTCATACTGTTCATTGGTTTTTCCAGTGGTATACTATTTATATCAGGTTCGGTCCGGTTAGGTTGCACAGGAAGGCAAAGATTTTCGCCAAACGGTAGTTCAAATTCTTGGACCAGCCCGAACCAAGATACTGCCGGATTTTCGATTTTTCGTCTTTGTTATTCGAGTCCGGACATGCAAGTAAGGGTTATATGTAAACAGGAAGCTTGAAAACCAACTGTTCAGAGTAGGCGTGCTAGATCCTGATCCAGATCTAATGTCTTGAAGTCTTGAAGTGATTCTCTGGTTCTAGGCTGAAGCCAAATGGTGCTGGATCCTTTATTGTTTCTTGTTTTCCTTTCGGGGAGGATGCAACTGGAAAATCGGAAAAAACTGGAGGGACTAGCAATGCTAGTTATTCTGGCAACATTAACAATAAACGTAACAATGTACTATAGCAAATGGGCAAAGGTATGGTGATATGGAGAAAAGGTGAAGAACACGGAAGGCAGATTTGCTGGCTAACTGGTTATGGTGTGAAAAAGAAAAGTGGCTATTTAACCAGAAGCATAGGACCTTGAGCAAGTTGCTATGCTGAAGAGGTTGCGTACCACTTGTATGAAACAAGGCCGGAGCGGAGTTCCCAAAAGTCATACCTACACACTTGTCATCATCGATGGGCAGATTCCGTTCGACGGACTAGTGTTTAACAGCATCAAAAGATGCCAGTGTCGTGCATGTATCTGTCACCAGATGGTGACATCATCTGCATATATAGCTACGTTTGCAGATAATGCACTAGGTAAATCGTCAATATAAATAAGGAAGAGAAGAAGACCGAGAACAGATCCCTGAGGGACACTGTTTGTAATAGGGCGAGGTTCGGATAGTGAACTGTTAACCCTTATAGTAAAAGTGAGGTGAGAGAGAAAGCTGCCAATGAGTGATAGAAATAGATCAGTGATTCCACATGCCACAGTATGTGTATGACTGGGACATGTGGGACCTTGTCGAAGGCTTTGGAAAAATCTGTATGAGATTTTGCCTTCATCATAAGCCTTTGTTAAACTACCCATGATACTCAGCATATTAGTGATGCAAGATCTGCTTGACAGAAATCCATGCTGGAAGGTTGAATGTAAATTATTTGCGCAGAGGTGCTTCAAGATGGCCTCTTTTAGAATGCGCTCTAAAATTTTAGTCGGTACACTAGTCAGGGAGATATGACGGGATCTTACTGGAAGGAGCCTACTGCCGTTTTTGTGATGGGGGAGAGGACTGCGGCTTTCCGGCGAGAAAGGAATATTATTTCATTCATTCTAGGGTGTACTTTGTCGGGCCCCATAGAGCAGTAGGAGTTGAGGTTCCGTAGTTTTTTTCGACATCTAACTGTGAGAAAGTAACACGGCTGAGTGTGGAGTTTAGTGGAAAAGGTTGTAGTATCGAAGGGGTAGTGGAGGGAGTGGAACTGATGGTGATGTGGTAGTGTTTTTGGAATTCGCCTGTAATCTGTGAAGGGGCAGTAACTTCTGTCCCTTCTGGTAACTTAAGCGCAAGAGAGGGGTGAGATGTGCCACGCGGTCGACACATAATTGTAGAGGAACGGTCTCTTCGTTTGAGCCCCTTTAAGTATAGCTCTTTGAGTGCGCAGTTTCCATTCTCCGATATTTGAGCGGCAGATGTTCCTGAGCCTTTTAAAGTCTAGTCCATCAGCATCGAGTCCCGTTTGCCCGTATCTTGCAAGCAGTAGAGACTGTATTGGTCGATCTGTGAA